CTAGCTGAGAAAAAGAAAGCTCAAATCAAGGACAAGATGGCGGGAAGTGGCGCTCCTTGATGTCTAAATACATTAGAAAATATATCATCTTAATTTCTGTGGATTTATTGTATCAATTTATGATAATTATGTCGTCGGGGGATCAGTGTGTTGATTTTATTTCGGGAATTTGTCATACGTGGTCTTGTGACGTCATATCGTGGTCCAGAATTAGAGCTCGATTCACATCTTAAGCAAACGATAAAACCAGCTTCAACATCAAAGGTTATTCGGAAAGAAAAATCAAACAGTGGAAAAGAACATAAGAAATATTTTTATTACAAGAAAAGAAAACGGTCAAGAAAGGATCCAAGAAAACCAGTGAATGCTGGATGTAAACTGAGACATACTGCGAGCTAAAACACTGAATTCCTGACAGTTGGTCGGAAAAGTCGAATGTAGGGACACCGATTTTCTCCGCGGTTTCATGGAACTGAGTTTGTGAATATTAGAGAGGCTGCTGCATTTGGTTGGACGCGAATGATACTAGAGTGTCTGACTTGGAATTTCGCTGGTTCAGCGGACCAACAATGTAATTTAGGTAGGTAGAGAAGAAATGGTGTATTAATGGTAACTGGTTTTTGTCAAAAGTTCGACATGGTAGACGCTACACTTTTCCACCGAAAATTCTGTCAAACTGATGCCAAACGTGAATTCCACTTTACCTCTATTAGCACTAGATGTATCTCCTCAAGTTTTCTGCAACAGTCTGATTGTCACGTAGCAACCTGGTGTGACAGATGTTCGCTTGCTGCGTGACGTCTCGTGTCCCATGTCGTGCATGTTTAGGACAAATTGACGAACCAAATGAACGAAGTTCTCTGTCACTAAGAAAGAAATCAAATACCTTGATTATTTATGCAATATATTTATTTTTGTAACGACTTATTAAACTTAATATCGGTGTCTAAACTTAAACGTTATCTTCAAACCTCCTCTGATGCAGTTCAGATCAGCCCATTGAGTTACATTTTCTTTAAATTCTTTAGTTTTTCTGCAGAGCGTAATTAACAATTAACAAATATTATAAACTAGCCGTACTGTCTCTACCAATAACGTTTTCAGCCGCATTCTCAGTAACTCACCGATCGTCAATATGTAATGTAATGAGTCTATCAAACTAGTCTAAATTTTCTTCAGAGATGACCGAGGGGTGCGTTGGACATTTACTACTTCGTTAGTTATCCAGCATCGTTAAAAAAAACCGTCCGGTTTCAATGTGAACCATGCAAGCGCTCAAAGTCATTGCATTCGAGCTTGTAGTAATAAACTTTTGTTACTTTTTAGAAAACTCTGATTTTTCCAAACACACGGTCATCAGTAAACACATAAAAGTATCCGCTGAATTAAGTCTTCAGCTTTAGAAAATTTAAATTCTCCATACTTCCGAACTTTTGTTCATATCCAGAGTTTCAGCTGTGTAAAAGGCAAGCTCAGTTTGCAAACTGTTTCCTGACGCTAGCGAACTTAGCGTACTTTACAGTTCTACAAATTACGTTGTATATTGATTTTTTGGAAACTTATTAATAAGGCAAATCTAGTTTAGTTTGAAAAAAGAAGGTATTTCTTTACGTAGCATGGGAAGAACAATAGACTGCTTATTCTAGGGATATGTCATAGATTTAGGATCATGTGACTCTGGAAGCCACATCAAACGCCTCAGGCAAGGCATTATATGGTAGATCCTAAGGTGTCTTAAGTTACTTAAACGTTAAGAAATGGGGTTATATCTTACTTGAAATCTCAGAAAGAAAACCAAACAAGACAAAACAGAAAACATAACAGGTGTATCTAAAAATACTACGTGTATTTACGATAGTGTTACTTTGCTTTTGGTTGCAACGTCAGAAACTACAAAACAACAAGATAATTTGGCGAATAATGCACATTGGAATTTGAAGGTGCTCTCACGTATGAGATGCGCAGACTGTGTTCCCTGGATGTTTTAAACGTACACAGTTACGTTTATTAAATGATCTGAAATGAAAACCCAAGCGAATCGATTATGTGCTAGTAACGTGAATGACCTCTTGTTGTTCTAAAAATATCGATGTGTTGGGCGTTGCAGCCTAGACAAAATGTTTCAGAGTTAGAAATAGAAGCTGAAAATTATAAATTTCGATTCTATTCAAGAAAAAAGGAAAGTAGCCCAGAGACGACAATTTTTGATTTAGTTTGAATTTCTTTGAAGATGTCCAATTACGAAATATTTCTTTTAGGGTTTTTGCTTTATCTGAGCAAAATTGCAAATCAAAGGAGTCATGTCGCCAAAATTTTAGAAAACTACGAGCTTTACTTCAAACAGCGTGGATCGTTCAGTAGTAGGATAAAAGAGGAATAATAAGAGAAAAAGGTTGAAAGGGAAACGTCAAAATGATAGGATGTGTTGTATTCAGAAGAATTTGGGAAAGGTCAGCCTTCCGTTATCATTCAATATGGTCGAAACTGTTTGTTTTTTCCTAACTGTAGAACGTGTTTCTGGTTAAGCAAGTTTTAACTGATAACTGCCGGAAAGAAGCAAAAGTAAACTAAGATAAAGTGCCATGGCTCCTTTCATTTCCTTGTTAGTTTTATTTCTATTTTATTTTTCATTTTTCAATTTACCATTTTCTCCTTATTCTTATTTGGTGCATTGGCTTTTCATGCTTTTCCCGTTTATTTGCGACCAACGTATGTTTCTTATTTTTGCGTTAAAGACAAACATTTGTTTATTTTTTATTTCAAATTTTCATTAAGTTTAAGGTTGTGGTTGTCGTTTGACATAGCTAGCGGTACAATGTGAACAAAATACCAAGAATATCAGACTCAAAGCAAGAAATATTTTAATACTTCGTGGTTTATTCTTTATTTTCAAACATAAATAATTTGGAGAGTGAAATTGAATATTAAATGGAACGTGGAGTACAATGAATAAATGATGAAAGACTATGTTTTTGTCTGGTTATTGTTGTGGATAGCTTTTGATACAAGGGGGAAGGTGAGAAGTTTTCACGGGGGTGGGGGAAAAGCTTCCTTTCATTAGTTACCAAATGAAGGGGTCTTTTCAGCTGTTTTTGAAATTGGTGGAATGTTTTGGTCGTTAAGGAAATATTTCGCTCCGGTTTTGTGATTCATTACTGTTTTCAACTTTAACATCAGTTACACATTTCTGTTGCTAGTCAAATTTTGTTGAAGTCTTGTTTTTAAAGGCCACTCGACTTTTGCACGATAAATTACTTTATTTTTTGGGAGTGAAAATGGATCATGAGAATTATTCGTTAAACCTGTTAATTTAATCAAATGTCAACTCAAATGACCTTAATGTCGGGGTACAACCTGCCGATGAACTTTAATCGAATTGGGGAAGGCGTCATAGAAAGGTCTGTGTTTCGCGTCTATTGGGTCAGAAATCCTAAATCCTTATCAATCACTTCCTCACTTCCACAAAGTTTGTTCTCTTACGCTCCTTGAGTCTTCAGGGCACTTTCGAATGTGGATCAAATTCAGTTTTTAAAATTCTCCATGAATTCTTTCTAAATTAGATCAGATCTGTTGTTGCTAACGTTTTTCATGGTCGATGTCACGGTTACAAACAGATCTTCCTTGACAATCGCTTTCTATTCAAAAATTAGCTTATTGATTTTAAAGTCGATAAATGAGGCGTTTTTAGCATTCATAAACGCAAAGAAAACTTTGTCTTGAAAAGGGGTGTTGATTTAGCTGCTTCTCGATGGATGGAGAAGTGATTTTAAGTGAAAAAAAAGGACAAAAACAATTGACTGACTGTTGTCTTTATAACAAAGAACACGTCTATTTAAGAACACAACCAACCAACCTTCATTAGAAGGAAGCTTCTAATGAGGAGCTATACGACAACTGGATAAACAGAAGTGATGATTAAGCTTCATTCAAAGAAACAGAGATCCAATATTGAGATGGAAGTTATCTCGTCTTGAAAGGAAATTGATCTGAGAATTCAGTGATAATAACGAGTAAACAGCCTGACGGCCCATTTTGGGTGTTAATTATCGAAAACAGCAACGCAGCAACTTGATAACGAGAATGAAATGTTAACAAAGGATATCGGAAAAGAAAGCCTTCAGTTTGCGCACCTGTTGCACGTAAGGCCATTAAAAAAAAAGGCGTCTGCAAGACAATTACAGAGAAATGGAGGAAAGATGTAAAATCTGTTGAGAAGTTTTTCGTACCCGATCGAAACCGTGAGGATCTTTTCTTTGGTGACAATATTTAGAAAAAGGTTATAAAATTCAGCCATTTTGGTTATCACTGTGCGCTGTATAACAACCGAAATAAAATCGTGATTTTGTTATCGTTGTTGAGATCTTTACGAAGGAAAGTGAAACAATACAGACTGCTGTACGTTCAAGTAACAGCTGATCAGCAGTTAAGCAAGAAAAATACCTTAGAGTTCTTATATTTTTTTTTCCCATTGGTCTCTTTTGTGCACTTAATTTTAAAAACAAAACCAAATAAAGCTCTAAATGAAAATGAAGAAATTATAATTCCTACTCTTAACCTTGAAGTGGTTTACATTTCAATAAACCATCTTGATGT